GATTATTGCACAGGTGTGCCTTAGGCTGGCCACAATAAAAGGCCACTCTGAAACGTGGAGTTTTGCTTTATTGGGGGGGGTCTGGGGGGGTCCGAAAACCCTAGGGTTAAACCCTAACCCTAACATGTCACCCATTGAGCATGTTTGGGATGCTCTGGATCGGCGTATACGACAGCGTGTTCCAGTTCCTGCCAATATCCAGCAACTTCGCACAGCCATTGAAGAGGAGTGGACCAACATTCCACAGGCCACAATCAACAACCTGATCAACTCTATGCGAAGGAGATGTGTTGCACTGCGTGAGGCAAATGGTGGTCACACCAGATACTGACTGGTTTTCAATAAATACACTGCAAGGTTTAATGGTTTGTGCAATGCCAGTGATTATGAGAATGAGCCTAGACAGCACATTTAGGATCAAATCAGGTCAATTGGCTGGAAAATGGGAAAAGGACGCCTGTTGGGAAAACATCTGCCTTAATGATAGTGAATACTTTCCTATCTCAAATGGAATTTCACTTAATCTCCTGAATTGATTCTGACAGTTGGAGGAGTGATATATCTTGCAGCCGGTGAAGTTTAGCACTCCCCAAGACTAAGACTTGACAGAGTCAGAAACAGTCCTTTAGCCAGGTAGGGAGTAGGAGACACAGGTATAATGGAAACCTGAGGTTACAGGAGCATGGCAGAAATTTTAAGATGGATAAAGACAGGAGATAGGAACTGAGCAAACATCGAGACCGAAACAGGAAAGCCTTGTCTTCCAAAAAAGCCGGAACTTGCATGCATGGCAGCTGAAAACCCCCGGGAAACTTCTCCGTTCTGACAGCTGTGCCCTGATCCCTCTCAAGACCATGGGCGCATGTTTGGCACTGGTTGTAGACCAAACACTTCTGCCAACAAGTGTAATCCATGCACAACATCAGGAAATGTCACACAAGGGTGGGCTGTGTGTAGTGGAAAGGATGAGCTGCTAAATGTCGTGTTTGGCGTGGCCTAATCAAACCATCAAGATGCCTTTCACAAGACCCAATCCCTTCCGATTCCTGTCCCTACTCCTGGTGGGAATAATGAACAACACGCATGGAAGGAAAAGGGAAAGAAATGGACCACTTACAATTAGGAAAAAAGGAAATTCCAGGGATTACATTGTGCCAAAGTATTGCTTAATACCAACTTTATATATTTAACTTTAATGGGCAACATTTCTGCATGGTGACTCATTTTGGAAATTGTTCAAATTAAAGCATCCATAACAACATTGGACTGTGTTACAATTAAGTGAAATAGGCTCATTAAACAGAATCCGTGGATGGCTATTTTTTATATTCCTAAAGTGTGGTGATTTAAGTTCCAGCTCTTGCATTGTGGAAAAAATATATACTTCTAAAAGTAAGTTTTCACAGAAACTGCCAACAGGCAGGAAGTTAGTTCACATGTAAAACATACTGTATGACCAAGTCATGCATTATGTAGCCTGTGAAACCACTTGGGTCGTGTTGCAGTAGTATTCAATGAACAAAGAGCCAATGTGATCACTTAGTGGGAGAACTTTTCAACTGAAAAGGTAATGAATCTTAACGTTAAATGTATAACACTTCCCTTACCAACGGCCCAAAGTTGTCTTTTAGAGGTGACTTTTTATTTTTCAACCTGAACCCTATTTTTCCATGTTTTTTGGCTGCTACGTGATCACTCCAAGCCATTCCGACTGCCGTTGTACGTCGCTTTAACGGTAATTTTATGTAAGGTCCTTCTCTTTTTCATTTTATCAAAAACTTAACAATAACAATCTGAACATTTTTAGTGGACACACATTGGCGGTGCGGAATTGCAGGACTGCTATGTGTCTGTTTCGTGGCTTCTAGCTGGAGCGCTGTGAGGAAAATACTGACATAATTTCAACAAATGGTTGTCCCAATTAGTCAAAAAAAATAAAAGGGAAAATAGGATCCAAGTTAAAGAAAGCTTAAATTGCCCTTTAGGATTTAGGCCAATATAGCCCAAACTTAATATATTCTTTACGGGACATGCATTTGCTTTGGATGACAATCTTAAAAGTCATTCCAACAAGCTTCCTCAATTATTAACATCACTCCATCTTTACTCACCACCAGTTCGGAGAAACGTGCAAGCAGCTCCTCTGCGGGCGGCATGGGGGCGCTGAACTCCAGCAGCTGCAGAGGCACGCTGTCCTTGAGGTTGATCTCCGGAGGCTCGCTGCTACCGAAGCAGCACAGGAAGCCCAGGCCTGGCCGCGTCCTCTTCCTGGGCGGCATGGCGGCTGTGGCGACACGTTTGGCAGTGATGGTGCTGTATGGTAGAGGAAGGGGCAGGGAGGGGGAGTGGAGAGGAGGACGAGGCTGCTATCTAGGGGGCATGATCTGGAAGAGAGAAAAGAAGCAAATCAAAGCAAAAGGTTACAGAGACATCCAAAATGCAAGGCGGCCTACGTTTGGTTTCCCCAGTGTCCTTAACAATTACTTTGAATGCCATTCCATCCATTAGGACAAGCATGTTGAATGGCATAATACATGACGTTTCCATGTACAGTAAATAATTTAAATAATTTCCAATCAAAATGTTGCATAACAGTGATTCAGCCTATGCTATTCAGCCTCGTGCTGGTCGACACACCCAGTGTTTGGTCAATGTTTCCTTGGAAATTTTCTTTTTTTTGTAGTGCACAGGAAATGAAGCAATTCATTAGACCCTCCAGAAAAACGCGATTCTGCGATCGCAGAATTTACCGCATAATCAGCAAAATGGCGCAGATTTTTAAAAAGCCGCATATTTATCAAAAGGCCGCATAATCCCCGCATTTTTCCACACAAAGTTGAGAAGAAAAAAAAGTTAACTCGTCTTGACGTGACGTCATCAGCTCGCGCATCACAGAATGTAAACAACACTGTATAGAGCTCATTTAGCAACGAACATTTCTACTAAAGACAGGGCAAAAAGTGGGGGGAAACTATTCTGCACCCCGTGCAACTGTGTGTTGGAGCATAAGAGAAAATCGACGGGGACGACCACGACCCACCGTCCCGTTCACCGAGGGATCAACCTCCAAAACCCTTTCGAGGGCTACAAGAAACGAAGTGAGTAGCCTACAAGATTGAAGCTGGTCAGATAACGAACGAGTAAATGAAAACAGAATGAGGCGGAGAAGTGTGTGGGGG